CCCACCCCACTAATACATGCGAACCGCGCATCGGTCCGCCTCTCGATCGACGTTTTGTTTGTCTTTTCTTTTGGAATCCTACAAGCACACACATACGCCCTACGCCGCGCCTAGCAGACCAGCCATACCAGGGTCTGCACCGCCAGGACTATCAGCCACACCACAAGGAAGACCCGGAGGATGATAAAGTGCCAAAAGCTGCACTCGGTGAAGCCCACCTCCAGCGCAAGGCCCGCATGGCCCAGGGGCTGCTGGAGGATCGCCGCCGGGGACAGCGCCCCGGGGAGAAGACGCCGCACAGCGGCCACTTTCTGCCCGAGGGGGTGCGGCGGCGAGGGCAGTGCCGGGCCTTCCGATGCTTTGGCCGCCGGCCGGTCGGCGGGAGCCTTGTCCTCCGGCACCAGGCGCAAACTCAGCAAGCCAATGCTGCCGGAGTAGTCGGACATGATCGACCGAGCGGTGAACTCAGGCGCCACTGCCGGGTCGCTGCCACTCCGATGCCCGGCGGTGGGAGCGCCCCCATTAGGGGCGTCCCAGCCGCCCTCTGGCAAGTGGTGTACAAAACGACACCCCTCGTGATCGTGGCCGGCCACGATCGCCAGCGGCCGAAGGAGGCCGAGCAGTCGGCTGCTTGTGTCCTCGGAGAGGAAATTTTGCACCGCGACATCGCCGGTATGCGAACTGTGGCCGGGAGGGGGAGAGCAGGGGGGGGGGGGGAGGGGGGGAAGGGTCAGCGGTTGGCGAAGCCCCCGGGGAGGGGCGTACAAAATCGGAAACGAGCAAGACCGAGCACCGGCTGGCCCGAGGACAAACACGCACAAAGTCCGCATATGTGGCGCGTCGGTGCAATGGCCGGCCGCTTTGTGGAGAGGGATATGCGTCAGGAGAATCGCGCGCCAGGGCCGGTGGCCGCCCTTCGGCCCGTCATCCGGCCAATCACTCGGCGCCGGAAGTGCAAAGAGAGCCTCCGGGAAGGGCTCCAGCAGGGGGGCCACCGCCGGATCGGCAAACAGGCGTCGCGTGTCCGGGGTCCCATACCGGACCAGGGCCGCCGCACGCAAAACCGTCAGCCAAGCTTGGTACTTGTGATGGCCAGGGACAAGGGTCCGATTACAAGCGCGAGCCCGGCCAGCCGTCGGGGGCCTCGGGTGGAACCCCTGAGCCAGGTCGATGGGGACCAGCGGGGGGGCCTGCTCGATCGGCAGCCGGGTGCACCGGACACTCCGTGGGGCCAGGCAGTCGGCCGTGTCGGCCGCGACTCGGGTCGGGTCCAGTCCCCCGCATACCGTGCATCCGGAGCCCCAAGGCCCTGCAGGCGGAGCCGGGGGAGGCATCTCGGCCAGCAGCTCGTCATACTGGTGGCAGGGCCCGGCGCCATCGAGCACCAGGGCATTGACCGACACCAGGAGCAGGCGCACCGGGAATTGCGAACCCGCCGGGGGGGAGGGAGCGCCGGCCGTGGCCCGGGGCCCGGAGCTCGAGGGCACGGGGCCGGGCCAGGCCGTCCGAAGGAGAGCCCCAAAAAAGGCCAACGGATGCCGGCCCGGCCGGCCAGGAGACGAGGGGACCCGGGGGCCGGACTCGGGCCCGGCCCGCAGCTCGATCAGCCGGTTGACCGCGCCATAGTGCCGCTCAAAGGCCTTGAGCATGGGGTCCGACAGGGTCCCGGCATAGCCCACATCATGATTGCCCACCATGTAGAGCGTCCGCCCGGACCGAAGACCGCCATCGGTCTCGAGGACAGCCGCCGTGGACCATGCGGGCGCCAGCACAGCCGGGTCCCCGGGGCCGAAGATCTGCATGATACGCTGGGCCCGCGCGGCGAAGTCCCTGGTGGAAATGTGCTCCGAGCTGTGGAGATCCCCCACAACCAGCTGGTGGGTGGGAGCCGCGGCGGCCAGGCCGGCTCGCGTTACGAAGACCATGTACTGGTCGTTCAGGCGCTGGTCCAGAAGTGCCAAGCCCGGGTGATCAGCACGAGCCGCCTGCGACTCGCCGGGGATCTGCGGATCGCCGACCACCAAAATCCGCAAGGCTGGAAAGGGAGGCGCGAGGACCGCACGGCCACGATGGCCGCAAAAGTGCACGGGGCACAGGGCGGTTAGTCCATTTGCAGGCGATCCGCGGAGGAAGAAGGCAGGGACCACGCACCGGGCGTGCCCCCGGCCCCGGGGGCCTGGCCGAGGGTGAAGAAGTCCCCGCAAAAGGCCGGCATGTAGAGCAACACCAGCAAGCCGGCCATCGCAGTCAGGGCTCCGGCTAGCAGGGCCAGCGCGCGCCGCGGCGCTGCCCGCGCCCGCGGCTTGACCGGCACCGGCGGCGAAGGCGGAGTCAGGGCGACCGTCATTTCATGGGTGTAAATGAGGCAAGGCTGATGGAGAGGAGGGAGGCGGAGATGGCAATACGTAGAGAAGAGGGATACATGCGCGATCGGGGGGAGCCCCTTCTCGGGCCAGTTGCCGGCCCAAGAACCGGCCCACCGGCCTCGGGGCTTGGAAGAGCATTTCCAGCCCCCGCCAAGGGCTGCCGCACCTGTGCGCCCTCCTCCCGGGGAGGGGGGGGGGGGACCTGCCCAGAGGGTGGGATCGCCGTCTGCCCTCTGATGTCCGGCGCCACCGCGTTCAGGCCGGCCTCGGCCCCGGATTCAAAATTGAAAGAAAAAAAACACCCCACCTCGCGGCTAATTCGCTCCCGCCCCGGGAGATTCTGTAGACTGCCCCGCCTCCCTGCCCGCCCCGGGGGGGGGGGGGGAGAAGCCAGGGCGGGCGGCGGAAGACTCCCACCGAAAAAGCTACAGCGTGCTGGGTCTTCTGCCGGGGTCAGCCCGAGTCGTGGGCCTCCCTGGGTCCGTTGGCAGAAGGCCCACGCAACCCAGATGCCCACGGATCCGCCGATCGCCCCCGCTCGATCTCCTTTTTGAGGGCCGGCGCGCGGGGAAGCTGCATGGCGGTGCTCGCTCGGGGTGGGGGGGCCAGGCCGAGCGAGGCGAGGAGGGAGGGCAAAAATGAGAGACGCTTGTCCCGAAAACCCAGCATCATACCCGAGCCCCCTCCCCCCCCCCC